TTTACCCTTATCATCCAAATAATGCATGTGTTGTCTAGCAGGAACACTATTTTTATTTTTTAAACATTATTGTTATTTTTTAAACACTATTATTATTTTTTAGAAACATGTCTAACTCTGTCTTCCAGGCTAGCACAATCATGCTGTGGAGTGCAGTGGCACACACATAGCCCACTACAGCCTCAAATTCCTAGGGCTTAAGTGATACTTCCACCTCAGCCTCCCAAGTAACCAGGATGACAGACATATACCACTATGCCTGTCTAATTTTTTAATTTTTTTGTAGAGATAGGATCTCACTATGTTGCCTAGACTGGTCTCAAACTCCTGGAACCAAGGATCCTCCCACCTCAGTTTTCCCAAATGATGGGATTACAGCCATGAGCCACCATGTCCATTCTAATGAGAACATTGTTCATTATACATCTTTCAGCTTCTAAAATTCAGCTAAGTTCGAGCCATGACCATAATAACAATGCAATGCAGTTTTGTTTTCTTCCATAGCAGATTTTAATACCTTACTAAATGACTTTTGGGGGGTTGTGCTCTTCCACATGAACTATCAAGAGGCTACCAATTCTATCTTCTGTCTCCCACAATATTGTACATATCTCTTGTACATAGCAGGCATTCAATAACTGTTAAGTGACCATTAGACAGAAGTAAAAATTTAAGGTTCATCCCTAATATCCAGGCCAGGTACAATCGCATGCACCTGTGGTCCCAGCTACTTGGGAGGCTGAGGTGGGAGGATTGCTTGAGCCTAGGAGGTCGAGGTTGCAGACAGCTGTCTCTGTGCCACTGCACTCCACAGCATATATTTGTGGGTTACACACTGTGATTTAGAGACATTATTTAGTTTAACACACTTGTAATTTCATTAGAATTGCTACTTGTACCTTAAGTTTCCTTATTTTGCCAGGCACAGTGGTTCACCCCTGTAATCCCAGAACTTTGGGTGACCGAGGAGGGTGGATCATGAGGCCAGGAGTTCAAAACCAGCCTGGCCAATATGGTGAAACTCAGTCTCTACTAAAAATACAAAAACTAGCCAGGTGTGGTGGTGCGTGCCTGTAGTCCCAGCTACTCAGGAGGCTGAGGCAGGAGAATCACTTGAACCCAAGAGGTGGAGATTGCAGTGGGCTGAGATTGTAACACTGCACTCAAGCTTGGGCAATAGAGGAAGACTCCATCTCAAAACAAAAAAAAAAAAAAAAAAAAAAATTCCTGCCCTTTAGAGACTTTGGATTTTAACTGTGGTTAATGTACATCTTATCATATTTAGGTTTATATAAAGGCATACTGTTTTACAGAAAAGGAATTCCTGGACAGGCACAGTGACTCACATCTGTAATCCCAGCACTCTGAGAGGCCGAGGAGGGCAGATCACCTGAGGTCAGGAGTTCGAGAACAGCCTGGCCAACATGGCAAAACCCCACATCCACTAAAAATACAAAAATGTTGTATTTTTACAAAAATACCGCCAGGCATGGTGGTGCATGCCTGTAATCCCAGTTACTATGGGGACTGAACCTGGGAGGTGGAGGTTGCAGTGAGCCAAGATTGTGCCACTGCACTCCAGCACTCAAGCCTGGGCAACAGATCGAGACTCCATCTCAAAAAAAAAAAAAAAAGAAAAAGAATCCCTGGTAGGGCACAGTGGCTCACGTCAGTACTTTAGGAGGTCGAGGCAGGTGGATCATTTGAGGCCAGGAGTTCAAGACCAACCTGGGCAACATGAGGAAACCCTATCTTTACTAAAAATACAAAAATTAGCTGGGCATGGTGGTGCACATCTGCAATGCCAGCTACTCAGGAGGCTAAGAAACCAGAACTGTTTGAAGCTAGGAGGCAAAGGTTGTAGTGAGCCAAGATAACACCTCTCTCTCAAAAAAATAAATAAATGAGTTCCTTTTCGTGTCACATCAAGCTCAATTTTGTTACTGCAAAACAATTTGCTCTCAATTGTTGATTCTGTAATTTGTCACCCCTGAAAAAGAGCTTAATTTATTTTAACATAGAGAAGGAAAGGGTATAAAAATTGTTGGGATACACTGAGCAGCAGGTAGCAATTTTAAGTGTACTCTGCACTACTTTGCTATAGCAACCAGCTTAACCAAAAGCTTACTTTTTTTTTTTTTTTTAAGTAGAGCCTTACTCTGTCACCCAGGCTGGAGTGCAGTGGCATAATCTTGGCTCACTGCACCCTCTGCCTCCCAGGTTCAAGTGATTCTCCTGCCTCAGCCTCCCAGGTAGCTGGGATTACAGGCGTGCACCACCATGCCCAGCTAATTTTTTTGTATTTTTAGTAGAGACGGGGTTTCATCATGTTGCCCAGGCTGGTCTCGAACTCTCAACCTCAGGTGATCTGCCCACCTCAGCTTCTCAAAGTGCTGGGATTACAGGCATGAGACCGACCCTTACATTTTTTTATATAGGAAACTAATTTGGTACTTGAGGACCATCCTGGCATCTTTCTTTATTATTAAAAGGAAGATTTTCTATAATTTGGATTACCAAAACAGGCACAGCTGTATTAACTAGCAAAACTGCTCTTTAATGTCTTCCCATATGTGCTACCTTCAGTTAAGTACATATCTTGTACCTCAACCACATGAGACAGGCTACCCTTCCCAGTCCCTACTATAGTCCATATTTCCAGGTTCAGCTGCTTCACTTCAAAATAAAAGGTGCTAATTTGAATTTTTTCCAGGTATCTTTAGCTTTGACTAATCTCTCAAAAATCCTGCTTTGTAAAGTTTTGCACTATATCACTCTGATATCCAGCAGGTACCTAAGAATAAGTCTCCTATTATTCATTCACTTAACAGTTATAGAGCATCGATCATTATGTGTACTTTTTTAGACTATGCAGTAGGATGACAGCAATAAGAGCTACACCGTAGTGAATCTGAGAAAAATAAGAAAACAACTACAATTCAGCACAGTGTGAGAACTACTATATTGAAAGTAAGTACAAGATGCTAATTAAGCCTATACTTCATTCTATATGGAGAAGAACGAGACTCACACCACAAAACAAAGAAACAAACAAAAAAACAAGAAACAAACTCACACAGGTTATCCAGCTTAAGGCCCTGATTATCTCTACAATCTGTAGAGACTGCCTCGGCTAAATATAAACTGTACCTGTAAGGCAACATATTCACGGAGTAAACTTTAAGAGGGTTGAAATATGAATTCAAACTTTTATAGACTGGTAGCCTTTAATAGCAGGTAACTATAACCAAGAATCTTCTAGATAATTGATTTTGGGACTCTCCCAACAAAAAAGTAAGTCCTAGAAGTAAAGGGTTTGAGGTGAGGATAAGAGTTCAGCAAAAACAATTTGACAGAAAGACTGGAGTGAATAAACTGCCCATTTCGTTTAGTGCTGGCTAGAAATCAAGCAAAAGTGAAAAGGATTTGAAAAGCAACCTTGAACATCAAAAACAGTTTCTCTTACACACAACATCCTCGAATGAACATAAGACTGGCTATTTAAACCCACTGAGTTAAAAATGAAAAGGATACAATGTGGTCTGATGTAAACTTTGGTATATATAAAAATCATATGGGGAGCTTGTTAAAAATGCTAATTGCCAAGCCATATCCTTAAAGTGAAGATTCCAAAACTGTAGTTCTGAAACCTCTCAGTCTGTGTATATAACACATTGAGAACTAATGTTGACATGAAAGACAGCTCAAGATTATACACTATTCTTCCCACCCCCTTCCCTAGTCCATTCTCAAAAAAGAGGCTCTACACTGTGAGTCCAAGTCCTCAAGAACAAAAAGTTGGGCAGTTCTTTGTGAAGAAATAAAGGCTACATAAAAAGACTAGGAGAAGTATTTTCTTCTAGTAATCTCTCTTCACTTGGCTTCTTCCACTAGATCCCCTCCCTTCTACATGCTGCATACTCTTCACTGATTCCTTTTCACATCATAGGACTAGGCTACCACCTTCTTAAGAATGAAGCATCTCTAATCATGGACAGTGAAGTAGAGACCAGAGCAAAAGTCAGAAGGAGGCCAGGGAAAGGCTGCTTAAAACGACATGCTAAGTTTAGAAGCAAAAGGAACTCTGGAAGCTCCCAAAGAAAAGCCTGCTAATTTAGGGAAAAGTATGAACAATATTTAAAGTACATTTAGAGGAGAAAAAGACAGACAAAAGAAAAATCTTTCTATAAAACACTATGTCACCCTATTCTTTTTGGAGAGCAGCATGATTCAGAACACACCTGAAATAGTCTGAGCCCTATCATGTGGCCATATAAGACTTAAAATTATATTCCTTTAATTTCTCTACAATTACAAAAGGTAACCAAGAACACTGTTAAAAATACTTTAAAGCATGGCCAACACAGCGAGACCTCAGCTCTACAAAAAATTTTAAAAACTAGCTGGGCATGGTGGCATGTACCTGTAGTCATAAGGCTGAGGTAGGAGGATTGTTTGAGCTGAGGAGGTCAAGGTTGTAGTGAGCTATGATCATGCCACTGTACTACAGCCTGGGTGACAGAATAAAACCCTATCTCAACACACACACACACACACACATACACACACACACCCCCACCCATCCCAAAACCAAAAACAAATGGTGCAAAAAAGCCTAATAAATGGCTACCACTCCCTACTTATGTCAAACTCCTTCCTACATCTGCCCTACATCCTTCAATTACCCACGTGTCAATTCTACCTCTAAATGCCAACTCTATGCCCGTCTAATTGCACCCATTACCACAGCTTCGTTTAAGAGATGTATCATCCCATCTGAACTACTTCCACTGCCTCAAACTGATCTCCCTGCCTTCAGACTGTGTCCAACTAACCAATCCTCCTCATTGACAACTAAGTGATCTTCTTATTCATATCACTGCCCAGCTTAAAATGAGAAATAATTCAGTCTTTCAATAAAACATCAATAGAATTAAAACTATAATCATTTTTTACAAGTAGCACAATTTTCACAATCAAATTTATGTGAAATCACTTACATCATAAAATAGTTTTCTATCAGCAGCAAGTCGTTTGGATGCCAGTGTCTTGGTAACGTGATAGAAAGTAAGTAATGCTCTGTGCTGTCGAAGATCATCCTGGACTTTAACAGACTCTATAAGGGTGGGAATTAGTTCAGGCCACTGTCTGGGACAATCCAATCTAGCAACTTTTGCAATCAGCACTGCAATCTGAGTTGCAATCTGGAGAAAAAAATTAATCATTAGAAATAGACAAATGAAATCAAGGCAATTGATGAGGAATGCATTCATGGTGAAAAAGTACATTGTTAATTATACATTTGACAGAAATGAATACAATTTCACTGAATGACTGCTTAAAGACAGTGGTTCTCAAAGTGTAGCCCACGGACACCTGGTAGAGCTAGGACCCTTTCTGAGACCTATAAGGTCCTCCTTTTCCCAATTACCTGTCAGTGTGAAACAAGGTTTTCTTCATGTAACATTTATCATGTACCACAACAGGGTAAATGAAGAGCAGATATAAAAACCTAGATCTCTTCCTTTAAATAGCTGGACCCTAAAAACACAAGCCAATGCCATCTTTCTCACTAAATTTTTATTGTTTGGGAAATAGATACTATTGCTCATTTCCAAAACTGCTATGTTGACATGTATAATTTTATTTTTTACACGAATATTTTTAAGGTTCTCAGTTTTTTTCTTCCTTATTTATTTATTTATTTATTTATTGTTCTTTTTTTAAAAAAGACGGGGTTTCACCATGTTGGTCAGGCTGTTCTTGAACTGCCAACCTCAGGTGAACCGCCTGCCTTGGCCTCCAAAGTGCTTGGATTACAGGCATGAGCCACCACGCCCAGCCTAAGTTTCTCAGTTTTAATTTACAATACAGTAAATATCAACAAATGTAATTCTTTAAGGTCTTCAATTTTAGCAGTATAACAAGATCCTGTGACCACAAAGTTTAAGATCTCTCACCTAAAAGTAGAAAGAAACATCACATATTGAGCATTTAAATAATGATACTTCTACACATCAGTGTTTCCCGAATGCTAGCTGAAAGAACAATTAGGCAGTGGTTAACTGTTCAGTAACACAAGCCCCTCCCTAATCACCTCCTGCCACATTAATGGTAGCTCCATTTTTCTCCAATATCCTTCAGCTCCTTTGTCAAGAAAAAGCAAAGAACTGAGATAATTTAAACAGGTCAAAATAAAATTGTATTGGAAATACTGCTGAATACAATGTGCTTTAATAGCTCAATTTTAAAAATCAAGCATAACCAAGTATTATCTTGAAAAAACTTGAAAATTCACAAAAAAAAAAAAAAAAAAAAAAAAAAAAAAAAAAAAAAAAAAAAAAAACTTGAGAATTATTGTACCTATAAGCAAAACTTATTTTATTCTTAGAAGAAAAACCTCAGGCCAGGCGTGGTGGCTTACGCCTGTAATCCCAGTACTTTGAGAGGCCGAGGCAGGCAGATCATGAGGTCAGGAGTTTGAGATCAGCCTGGTCAACATAGTGAAACCCCATCTCTACTAAAAAGACAAAAATTATCATTCAGGTAGGCTTGCATTAAAAAAA